CTGATTGCTCAATAGTTATTATTTCTTGTCCAGCTCCACACTTCCTTCTCGGCTACTTGCATTTCTTCTCGAGCTTCGTCCTTGTATTTATATACACATTATAACTTGGACAAAGGAGTGTATCGAAATTAAAATCGTCTCTGTTGTGGACGACATTAAAATCGTCTAATATATATCGACATAAGTTCCTGAGACGACAAGTGTCAGCATCACGTTAGTGTCAGCTCAAACAGGGAAGACACTGTCATAGTTGGACACGTCAGACGTGTGTCGTCCCTCTTCTAAACGACTTCACCTATGTCGTCTGGTAATTGGACGTTTTATCCTTTGAGTGTCGTCCCTTAACTGGACGACTTCACTGCCACGTGGCCAACGAACCCCAGACAGGGAATTTCTTTGCATGCATGCCTATTTTGCTATTTTGTTTTCAAATTAACCACAAAAAGGCAAAAAACCCAGAAATAACAAAGTTGGAATTTTTTAATAATATTAAATGAGAGAAATTGAAAATACAAATTAATAAAATGACACTTATCTTATTATAGAAGAAATATGTTATAATATAGTTAGATTATTTGACAATTTGTCTAAATAATCACATATACATGTTAATTATTGTCCTTATTTCGTATCTGTCATACGTATACCTCGTGCATTTTATTATTTTATTGATTCTAAATTTATATTTTACATTTGATTGATCTGAAATTATTAATAAACAACGGGTAAGGCACTTATGATCTAGCGACATGATTGTCTCCATAGTGGAAGCCCATGCACCCTTTTGTGCTTGTGTCAACGCCCTTTCCATGCGCATTAGATGCCTCATATTATCATTACCACATATCAAGTTTGAGCACAAAATTTTATTTATATCATTGCTTTTGTATTTGTTTCACATTGTATTTGACCCCAACAAAATGTATGAATGGATTTTCACAGTGTTCATTGTTTTTGTAAGCATTTGAAATAAAAATATTAAATATACTTTATATTAATTAAAAAATTAGTCTCAAATGATTTTTTATATTTTATATATAATACTTTTTTAATAAAAAAATACTTCCTAAATATTAATATTGATGGATATATGTTAATATGTAAAGAAAAAAATAAAATATTTCATTAATTTAAATTAAAATAGTTTGTCATATAATTCATTTTAAATATTCTTAATTTATAATTTTATACATTATCCCACTTTTTCCTTTATATTGACAATGATGATCGGATGAAGATTTTGTGCCTTACTTTTTTGAATGGAGGAAGATTTCAAAATAATAGAGAAACACAATGCCAGCCGATAAATAACCATATTTATGTTCAGAAAATCCGTGTCTAGTGAAGAACTGACAAAATAATTAATCGAAATAATGAATGTGTAAAACTTAAGATTCCAAAATGACGTCAGTGTTGTGTCCTTAAATTCACAAAAGTTGATGCAGAATGGCGATGAAATATTAGATATTACAAATATGATTGTGTCGGGCATAAATTAATATTCATTATACATATATTCTAAATTTATACTGAAACATATTGTCTCAAAATTATACATTAATTAAACATTTCTGTTATTAAAATAATTAATATCCTATCACATTGTACTCAGATTTCTTAACCGATACGCAGTATACGTGAATGATTCACTATTAAAATTAGCTAGAATAAGCTCACTTAATTTAATCTTAAAAGCTAATTAAAAAAATCTCCAAGTTATTATTAAAGATATTTTTCACTCCTGTAATCGATACACAAATCAATTACATCGTTTAATATATCTTTAATTTTAAGCTCCGAATAACAAAAATTGTTTAATGTTACGAGTATGTACGGGTTGAATAAACTTAAAAAGAAAAGAAAAATCCGATCACAAATCTTAGATTGTTTGGTACGTAAATGTTTTTAGAATTAAAATATATAATTTTTTTAGTGTATTCTGTCTGTAACTTCTGTTGCCTCTGTTTCTTGCACGCACACGCGTACACACAGAGTATAAATACATTTTTCTTGGCAAAAGTAAAAAATATAGCAATTGACGATGACACATATATATATATATATACACACACATAGAGAGAGAGAGAGAGAGAGAGAGAGAGAGAGAGAGCCCTAAATAAGGCAACAACTTGAATTGATTTGTCCCTTGGCAATGTATGATACAGGAAACTAATCATGAAAGTACATTTAGGGAGTCGAAAGCCCCAACATCATGTGTTGCATTTGTCGGCTAAAAAAATACAACCGATGCTAATAGGGTGAACCTCAATTTGACGTTAATTAATGAAGTACGAAATTAATGTTCAGTGCAAAGCACATTAATTTTACGCTCAAACAAAACATTCCTAATGGCTCTGCATTCCTTCCTCCTCGTAGAAAATGGCTAATAATTTATCCTATGAAACACTACATATATATACCATGCCGAGTGGGAGTTGCTTTTGTATTCATGCAAAGTGGGACATTTGTGTATGTAGTGGAAGAGCGAACATAATAGCAGTCACATGGAGATGTTCCTAGGTGTGAATGAATGATATTTTATGATTCCTTCCATTACAAATAACATACACTAAAAAATACATAATGTCACACTGTATACCCTTAATTATTCATCCACTCTTGTGCGCCCTGATATTGTTATGGCATGCCGTTGTTGGTGGCTAATTTTGAAACGCATGCACATGCTTTCTTTCTCTGTCACAGCTTAATAACACCAAGGAAATGGACACGCGCCAAGTTTAGTCAGAAAATAGCTCTCACTTTGAACATCTTTTATTACCTTGGAATCCACAACTTAATCACTGCCTCCATTTTTATGCATCTTTATCTCCCTCCACCTGTAACATGGTTCATGAGTGTGTCGTCTGAGAACATAATTGCTTAAAAGAGAAGACGACCAAGCTTGACTTCACAAGAAGTAAATCCCATCGTCACGTATATTTAAGTAATCAATAAATCTAACACTTCTCACCTCTGCAGTTCTCATTGTGCTTCTTCTCCTGTGGATATATTAAACCCCATAGGTTGCTATATATATCATGCATGCTATAGCTTGTTGTACTCTAGTAGACTATCTTATATTTTTCTCTTCGTTCTTTTGAGCTAGCTAGCTTCGTTATGTTTTGCACTCACTCTACTAGGCCAATGTTCTTGTGGTAGGTATACCACTATCAGAATTATTTCTGTTCCATGCCCACACGAAAACAAAAAATGGTTTCAAGCTTCTCTGTGTGTGCTTTCTATGGCATTCATGCCTTTCAAACTTTATCCGTTTATCAGTTTTTAAATTACCTCACTTTCTTTTTTTTATTTGTGAGCATTGCTCTTACTCTCTTGTTTCATTTGATATTTTCCTCCCAAACTTAATTCATCATCATACACTCTGAATTTGTTGCGAAGGCTTTCTTCAGTTTTTTGAAGCTTCCTAAGATTGTAATGCAATTCTCTACTTCATTTTGTTTTTTAGTTTATAGACACAGGTAGCCGAGTTGCCACTTTCTTTGCTACTTTAACTATTGCTAACATGGTTGACAGGTGTTTAAAGTCGCAGGTAACCGATCCAAGAAATATTTGACATTTCCAAAACAAAGATATAACCTTCCTTTAGGAAAATGAGAATATAAACATTTTTTAGTTTCTTTATTGATCGGTCCTTAAACTACTTGTTTCCTATGCACTTGATTAATGTGAAACGTTAAGTTTCAATATATGCTATTTATTTATTCTATTACTTTAAACCCATATTACACTTTGTGCATGTTTGATTGCTATTATTAGCATAGTGGTATATCTCATTTTGGCCTTTGTTTAAAATAAAGTTCAATTTCAAATCTTCTACTAGGCGTTGGAGTTACGTATATGATATGGCACTTGTGATCCCTATCATGACTATAATAATTTGCTTGCATGATATGGTGCCACTTGGAGTAACTAAAGAGCTAACTTCGGGTATTCCCAATTTCAAGTCTAGGCTATATATAGGTCTATCTTTTGCTTGCCTTCTAAACCTCAGATAGACTTCAATGCATATGCGGGATACATATATTGCGAGACGTAGGAGCTAAGAATATGTGGTACCATTCATTGTGTTGTGCGTGTTAAGTACTGTTTCCTTTTTCTTTTTGTTGTTTCATCATCAAATATTATCGCACAAGCCAAATCAAGATCAGGCCCGGGTGTGGGGTAAAAATTCGACATTTTAGATTTCTATCTTTTAAAATTAAGGTCCTTAATTAATTAAACCTTCATTTGTCTTAGAATATAAGCTTGATGCTAGATGGATCATCACGAGTCATATACTTCTAATCTTTCTTTCCACGGAAAGAGAACATTATTAATATAAGGCTATTTGAAGTTGAGCATCAAGAGTACTTATGGATTACGATCTATAATCAATTATCTATCGAGATTATCCATTTTCATCTCTATTTTGTTAAAAATTCATGATTAAAGAAATTAGAAAAAAAAGTATTTATTCTCTACTGCAAAGACACAAAAGCCTTATACAAATCGATTAAGAAAACAAACTAGTGAAACAGACGTTCAAAATTGACAAACAAAAAGAAAAAGGAACAATTTATTCTATAACTATTTCATTTAATAGTAACATACAGACATAGATATATGAATATATATCGACCACCCGGTCAATCTAATAGAAACAGCGGATGTGGCTGTTAGACCGTACCATGGCTTACATAGTAGTGCTATATATATTGCATGCATAGCAAACAATGCAACTTTCAACTGCAAAGCTTTCCATCTTCAGGGAAATATATATGCCTTCTTACTAAACATTGGACTGTTTCATTAAGCTTTTTTTTTTTTTAATTGAATGCTAGAGGCTAGCTAGAAGTACTGGAGGCAGAAGCTCCACAATACAGTTAAAGTTTCGCCCATTACGTTTATTATGTACAGGCATTTAAGCAGTGCTTGCAAGTGATGTTTTAGCTAAGTACCCTATAATTAGTATGTACCCAAAACCAATTTATAAGTAGCCACTATTTCCACAAATCGATTGGACAGCTGGAGATGGATGTTGAGACATTTTCAGGCACCACTATTTCTTGTTTGTCCAAATGTCTGAACTCTACATTGCCATTGTCCGTGCCGTGAAAGATATTGCCTGCGTTGGAATAGCTGTTGTCTTTGGAAGTATCTTGACTAAGCTGTGAAGCAACAAACTTGTCAAGCACTCGCCAATCAGTTACTTGATCAACGCCTTGTTCAGTGGAATTGTTGTTGCAATACGGTGGCTGAAAGTTTTGGCGACCAACTTCTTGTTCTTGTAGGAGTGATGAGGGAAAGAGAGTAGAAGCCTGGCTTATTACATCAAGACCATATGCTGCCATTGGATTAGAGGTTATGGTAGAAGCAGATTGAAGCAGTTTTGGGCTCTCTAAAAGTGGAAGCTGAAGATAGTGGTCTCGAGGCAATTGGTATGGCAAATCTAGCTCTTTCTTGCAAGGATATGGTAGCTGGTAGACCAAATTAGATTGAGAGGTTTGCTTTGGCGAGTCCAAGTCTTGCATGAAAGAGACTTGCTCATCATACCAACAGGGGGAGTCGTGTTCACTCACTTTACGCATGGTTGTTACTCTCTTCTTGAATACTCTACACACCACCCATCCTTCTTCCTGCTTAATTCAGCCATACAAAATTAAATGGGTCCACGTGAAGGATAAAACAATCGTTAGTTCAAGGGGATGTACTGAGAAATTTACCAAAATAAAAAATTTGTATATAGCCAAGTAATTACAAAAGTTAATAGATGTTTGTCAAAAAAGAAAATGAACTGTATGTTATTGCATATTATAGCTTCCCAATGGTGTTTCATCATAGAGGAGCTTGTGACTTTGACTAGATAAGTTTAAAATGAACTCAACGTCTCTCTTTAGTTTTCAACGGTAATTCAAACTTGAAAATATTTATAAAAGGGTTGTGTATATTTTAAATATTCTGCATATTTTTCAAATTAATTTTTACTGCATTTTCTTTTACACCGACTATAAGTCGCACTTTCTATTTCTTTCTCTTCTTACTCTTCTGTCAAACAATTTGGTACAATAAGGAGTGTACAACAAAAAAATGTGAACCAAATATTTGTTTTGTCTTAAAGGAGAGAATAACTACGTTACAGCAGCGACAACGAAAGCATTTTCATACTTGGTGTTAGAACTTTGGATAACAAGTCACAACGTTGACCCCTCCCCCCCACCTCTCTCTATAGACAACAGATATGTCAACTGAGACTTTAAGGCAAAATCCGATCTCTCTCATCCAATACAACCACTTATAAGCTAAGTAAATTAATTTAGGTGCATCGTAAATTAATTTTGACTTAACATATAATATAGATTGAGTAGGAAACAGTTTATATTTATGTTTTTTACTAAACCTTAATTATGATTTTAGAAATTGACTTGCCTGTGGTGTGCCATGTTCATCTGTTTCGAGCCGATACTCGTGCATTATCCAATCTGACTTTTGTCCATTTGGAGCTCGACCCTTATAAAAGACTAAGGTTTTCCTCATCCCTATCAGGTCATGCTTGGAATAGATTGCCTTGTCTCTTCCTGTTGCTTTCCAAAATCCTGCTGCAGTTGCTCTATTTGTGCGAGTTCCAGTTGGATACTTCTTATCTTTATGGCTAAAGAAGTACCATTCATTTTGCTCTTCTGTTCCTATCCTGCAAATCTCTTTAATAAAATGCAGAAATTAGCAATAATATATCTTTCACCAATAAAATTGTTCCTCTTCTCGAATTCAAAAGCTATGAACTCGGTACTACCTTGAAGATCCCAGGGCTCAATTTTGTAGAGGTCTACATCTTTTATGACATCTAGGTCAATCCTCCTTGATGCAACTTTCTTCCTAAGATAGTAATCAACAAGTTCTTCGTCTGTGGGATGGAACCTAAAACCGGGGGGCACATGAGAGAAAGTATTCATGTTCTCCCTCTTTTGAGTCCTGCAAAATTGGATCAAATAAGTTACTTCCATCTTTTGTAATGTACTGTAGCTTGGCCAAATGTAAATATTGTTTAACAGGATATTAATATGATCGAGTAAACTTGGCTTTTTATCATGATTTTCCAACAAGTTATCGTGCCAGTACACAGCATACAAACAAAAAATTTGTAATATTAAGGAAATAAACAACCAACAGGGAACCTATAGCCTGGAAGTTAAGCCAATTGATTTTGCAGATATTGTTATGCTCATAAAATTAATTTCATTTTCAACCTAGGTGAAAGGATTAAATGAAATTGAAGATCAGAATTGCAAAACTTCCAACACATGGGGAGAAATGCCTATTTTCTTTTTAATTTCAGGATTTACTATTAAATGGCCTTTGCCAAATATCTGCCTACCCGATCACTTGAGCTATTTCCGATTGACAGAGAATTAACTGTTGTCTTTCACTTTCATAAGGCCAATTTGGTCATTATATTGAGTTGATATTCACCCTTCACGAATAATTAAAAAACATAATGTGGTAATTCTATTTCTTTTTCTTTCTTTTTGTTTAATTATGTTTTCCCTGTACGTGTTGATCGTAACCATGATTAGAGGGAGTTAAAAGTTGTTTTGCGCCAGTAAGTTTTAACATTTAATGGGAACTTCTAAAAAAATATGGGATGAGGTTCCAGTAAAGACATATATCCCCAAAATTTTTGCATAACCGGGCTACGAAGTACTTTCTTCGGAAGAAAAATCCAATCATCATAAACGTCAGGATTTATTCCAATTCCAAATTTAAAAACTTGTTGTGACCCAAGTTTTGATAGTGAGGGACAAATTTGAAACCTAATATATTCATCAAGGAAAGGTGGAAGCAGAATAAATCGTATAAATGACCCTACATCTCATCAAAATGCGTACATACAATGCGCTGATAATATTAGAAGTTGTCAAATAATGTATATATTGGAAAAGAAGAATAAAAGTTACTATTCAATATTTGTTCCTTGGAATATATATATATATATATATATATATATATATACTATGAGAAAAAGCATGATCATGATGATTATGCGTGTGAAATGTTCACATAGTCAACACATGCGATAGTAGACATGCACAACGCTTACTAGTACTGGATGTACATACAAGTGATTGTCACTCATTGTGATTCCCACTAGCTAATTTATGACCCATGCTTTTAAAGAATAAAATTCATGAACCTTCTTATAATGTCTAACAGCATGCTTAAACTAAGCATAACCAAGATCATATAGACAGCCGCCTGGGGATGCAAATTGATTGAAAAAATAAAAATAAAAAAACCTTTAAATTCGATCACTTTAAGGGTTTCTTGCGTTTAAGATCCGAAAAGTGAGAAGTCTCTACTTGTATATCTTAGAAGAAAGGAGATGGAGAAAAAGGAGGAAATAAAAATACAATAACAAATTAGAGTGAAAGTGCAAGAGAGCTCACAGATCAAGCAACGAGAGTCTTCACAGATCTGGTTGCGGTGGTGCAGTCACAAATATTCTGCTTGCAAAAATGAGTTGGTGTTTACAACTGAGAAGAAAGTGGTATCTCTCAACTTCACTCCAAAATATATAGAGGAAGCTCCTAATTAAATCAGACAAAGAGTTTCAACAACAATAAAAGTACTAAGAAAAGGCTCAAACAGTAACAAACATAAGTCCTCGGGAATAGAACCCCCTTCAACTTTTTTGTCTATTTTTTGTTCTCTCACAAGTCACAACCTGTGTTCTACTTGTGGGATCGGATCCCGAGGAAAAAGGTTAGAAGGAACAGGAAGCGGCAAACTCTGATGATCAAAGCTGGAACGGGAAGAACAAAAAGGAAGTTAAATAAGAAGAAAAAATAAAACCCTAATGATACTTCTCTTTGGTTTCTCGCAAACACTATATGCTATACGATGTATGATGAGCTAGGTCTCGCTGTCGGTTGAGCTGAATTGGTGGGAAAGGTTTTGGAGTGAGAGAGCGCGACAAAAGGTGGCGGAAAAAGGGCAGAGGTAAAGGCAAGGAAATATGGCTGCCACCTCTACCCACAACTGATAGAGACCCAGCCAACAACTGGTGAGTGCCACTGCCAGATTTTTCTCTCAAAAGGGTCTCTTTCTATCTATCTATCTTCAAGCTTTGCATATATGAGCTAGCTCTAGCTAGCCTAGAGAAAGATCAATGTAGAGAGAGAGAGAGAGAGAGAGAGAAGAAAGCAAACTAAACGGTGAAGTTAGAGAGGAACTAACAGCACAGGCCAATCAGCAATCTTAAAGGGGTGCATAAAGCACTAAAAAGAGTAAACAAATTTCAAAGAGGCATTGGTGGTGACGTAATGGAACAGCCACCCCTCTCCCTTTTACAAAAAAGGTATACCCTCACACACAAATGAGGCATTGTGGACCCTTTTGGCCCCCACCTCCATTCTTAGTCCCTACCATTTCCACCATCTTCGATTCTCAACTGTAATTAAATTGTTATGATGATCTCCGAAGTGACACTGGATCTCATGGATGTTCTACGGGACATTTGGCCCAGATATATGCCAAATCTTGAAAACCTCGCTCATGGCTAGCTAGCTTCTCTCCTTGTCCCTTTCTTATTAATTCTACATCACTAGTGATGGTTGTTTTAGCTTATAATTAGCCTAATGATACAATTCTTGCAGGCCTTGCACTAATCTCAATTTAACCATACTAGTTCCAACATATGTATTCATTCACCTCATTAATCCCAATGTTTACTCACTACAATAGGCTAGGATGAGTGTACCTCTAATAATTGTCTGAGAGTAAATGTGGAAAAGTTAATGTCTTTAAAGTGATAATTATTTCATTTGTCTTAAGCGATACAAAAGAAAACAATAAAATTTTTATTTCAGCAAACATTTTCTGTTTGTTATGAAGTGAATAAAAACTTATACTTTTACTTATCATCATAATAACTAATATATATTTCTTGTGATTCAACTTTATAAAAGAAATACTTCATATACATACTATTATTCCTGCATCGGTTTGCCACTATTTAAGCCAAGAGATTGAATCACTCAAAATAAATGTAAAACTTGCGAAATCAATTTGGAAAAAAAAATAAAATTAAAATCTATGAAGTGTATTCTATATCTAAACTATAGTTGCAAATGCAGGCTTGAAACATTAATCTGGGTATTGTTGAAGGGACCTGAATGAGACGATGCATTTCTTATGTTTCCCATTTGACAAGTACTCCTCTTTATGGATAATTCATCTCTCAAAAAATGGTTTCAAACACCTGTCACCTGCCAGCGAGTTAAGTTGTTTTTATTTAAGGCTAACAAAAAGCCCTTGGAATTTATCTCCTCAGGATTTCCCTCTTAGGTATGGCTCTGCTAGTGCATCAATCTATAAATATACAGTTTTGTTATATAAATTACTAAAAATTAATTTTATATATTTTTTTGTTTAATTTTATTTTTCTGCGTATATGCATCTAAAAATTGTGTTTAAACTATAAATAGGATAGCTTTACTTATACTTAGTATTCCTCAAATGGTATACAAATTAAATATTTTCCATAAATATAATGTCGTAGTTCTTTATTATTATCATTCTTTGTAAGGAACATGCTTCCTTCACTTTAAATTTTTTGATGCTTAAGGTTTTTCACATGAAATATGCAAATAAATAATCAATATCTTGATTAATAAAATACTTCTATTGAATTGTCTTTATTATATGTTCTCTTTATTTACTGTTAAACTGACTATACTTATTATTTATTTGAGGACAAATTTAGACTAAAAAGTAATTTTTTATTAAAATCTGAAGACATAACTCAATATATAATTTTAATGCTAAAATGATACTTCATTTACAGCAGAGGAAACAATAGAAATAGTAGTAGACGGAAACGTCGTATTGCATACTAGCAAAACAAAACGAAATTAATTATCTTCATGTTAGGGGTGTTGTGATGTGAATATCGTGCAAGAAATATCCAAAAAAACTAGAAATATATCTTCTATCCTTAATATAATTGGAAAATCCACAAGCATTTATTAGGGAAAATTATTGAAGTCTATTTATGAATTTATTATTAATAAAAAATTTAAACAACCGAAATTATTACTCTATAGTAAGTATCATAGTTGTGTACTTATTATTGCTTTTTCTTCTTAACTGCGAAGATATAAATGATTATGCTATGTAATTACAAGGAAAGTCGAAAAGAAAATAGAGGGTTTGGGATGTTTGGTACAACAATAAAAATATAAATGTACATCACTTTTGCATCTCAATGAAAATTTTATTCAACAACACTAATATTATTTACATGTAAAGACAGAATGATGTTTAGCATTAAAAAAACTCCCAATATATTAATGTATAATCAATATTCTCACATTGTTATGGCATGATTTGTTTATTTAATTGGGATGTAACAAAATTTGTGGTGAGCAATGCGTTTCCATCACACTGTCGAGGGTCATAATTGATGCTACATCTATATTTGCACGTCTCACTGTCACAGGGTGGTGGACTCATTACGGAACTCAGTCCTCGTCCCAACAGCTCGGATCGAAATAATTCCGTCCCGTTCTCAGAGCTCCCATCACATGTTTCATCAATGGCTACATTGAAACTAATTGGCTGAACATAACGTGTACGTAGTAACTTTTTGTTTTAATGTATGTATAAGAAAATAGTTTTGTTTAATATTATATTCAATTGGGGGGGGGGGGGGTCTTGTATATCATCAAATAATATATATTTTAGAAAGTACATTAGGTTATTGAATGGATTATAATAACCAGATTAGTGGTTGATGAGATAAGTAAATTTCACATTATTATTTTCCGTCCAAATATTTAAGGAGTTTATGATAAATCTATTGCATGAAATGTTTTTTTAATATCTAAAAGTAAAAAATGATTAAAATTTTAATAAGATTTTAAAAAGCAAAATTTTACTCTTTTAATATTTTGACTACAATTTGATATTTGGATTTCTGTTTTTGAGAAAATAAATGTTTCAATTTATTAAAAAAGAATAAAATAAATAAAATTATGCAAAGATGCGTAGTTTAACTCAAAAGAACTGAAAAGAAAATTAAAAGCACACGTACAGTAAATTAAAGGGATAAAAAATATATAATTACGCCTATTATTCGTTATCATAAATGTAAACCTGTAACATACTAAAAACTAAAATATGTTGCGGTACCCATTTTGCAGGTATTCTGAAGATCTAGAATTATTACTCTTTTAAAAAATAGTTTTCTAAAAAATAATATAAATAAAACTGTTTTTAAAATGAAAAATAAACCTACTTAGAGAGTCCTTATTGGCAAAAGAGTATGCATACAGAAGAGTACGAGAGATGGGGCCAAACCCTGAAGAGTAGAACAGCACTCTTGTCTTTAAAAGTAAAATCATTGGGTCCATTTCATGAGTTTTTGCTCGGCGGCTAAGCCTTCTAAGCTAGCCGGCTAGATATAACAACCCAGTCAATGAATGACCACTGACCAGTGTGGTGGAATGCGGGACCCATGGTTGTTTGATGGCTGAGTGTACGTAGCGGCTTGTGGTCCGGCGTGAGCTAGCCAGTATGATTAGAATTGCAAGTTGGGCTGAGTTGTGAGGAGCCCACTATGGTGTGCGGGCCCAAAGCAAGGGCCCATGTTGTTTGGGAATTTGGATATTCATCTCCCACACTTTTATCTTTCTTTTCGATATGAAGCGCAACAACACGTGCAATTTTACCCGAGTGGGCAGTGCAACTCATAATAACAACACAAGCTTATTACTCACAACCTAATTATTATTGTGGCTGTTTTCTTCAACCAAAATATTACTTTGTCTTTATATCGAGAAAATATTGGTTGTAATATAAATGTCTCTATTGTAAGCACAAAAGGTTAAATCTTTTATTTTAATACAAATGAAAATGGATTTGGAAACAACTCTTGTGGAAAAGGTTATCATATAATTGGGTTTTGTGTGAGCGTGGGTATTATTTGCACCTCACAATAATCCAGATTCACGGAATCCCCCACTTAATTTTTATTATTTCAAAATAAAATAAATGGCAAAAGCTAGAAAGCTGAGTTGACCTTACGATGTGGGTCTCTGATCCTATGAAGTAGACCCCACCGATGAATCATCATTAGAGTCTGACGTGGCATGGCTTACCAATGGGGATGCGGCTTCTCAAATGCACATCGCGCCCCACCTCTGATATCACTATCTCATTAACATGATGAATGTTGGTTTTTGTTTTGGTTTGGTTGCTTATCCTCTACACTTTTTATACTTCACAGAGACAATGTTACCCTTTGCACTCTCGTCATCGTCTGGTTCTACTTCCAACTTGAGCGAGGATAAAATGGGAATATACATCTCAAGAGTACAGTATACCTAAGATGAGTATGGTAAATGTGTTATGAAAATGTAGCATGTAATCTTTCTTAAAAATTGCTTATTTAGATGAGAAACAAAAGAAGATAAAAATAATAAAATAAAATATCAATTTTAATATTTTTAATTATGTTATTATTTTTAATAATTTAATTAATAAGAATTAAAAAGAAGGTCAAAACTTTCCTTCCGTTCTCCCTTCAAAACTCCTCTCACACACTTTCCTTCAAAGTACACAAAGAAAGTAGTACATTGGTCGATGGTTATTTACATGAAGATCTATTCTCCATATGAATGAGAAAAGGGAAAGAATGCCATGTAATGGTTATTTTAGAATAATTAATCG